GCTGGTGATCACGTATTGTATAATAAAGGGCTTCCATTTGTCGCAAGAGACAGGAGGAGATTATTCCACTAATGACCTTTTTGATGTACAATTTTCTTTGGAGAAACCAATTCCTGAAGGGATTATTAGGAATTCCAGGTCTGTCTTGTGAAAACAGCATTCCTGTTTACATTAAATAGCAGTCCTTTGCCATATACTATAAGATATATCCATCAGTGTTCACAGAAACCTTATACTTTACTGGCAGGTTAGAGCATTTTTTTAATAAATCACAAAACCATAAGCTCCAGTTCACACTAGTGCAACTTGGCGTGTGATTTGCGACACATAGTCACATGACAATTGAAAACACATTCATTTCAATGGCGGGTGTTACAATCAATGCGACTCATGTGAAAATGGTTCCTGCACTATTTTGATGCAACTTAGAACCCCATAGACTCAGAAGTCGCATGAAAAGCTGTAAACAAGCTGCACTGCATAGTCACACTGGAAATTGCATGACAATGGGGTCACAGCAGTGTAAACCAAGGATTAGAAAAGGCCTGTAAATCGCAATATAAAACAGTTGTCAGGGTAGGATAGGATTGTCTTAAGTAATCTATGGAAAGCTCTCTGGAAAGGCCTGATTCAAATATATATTGGAGTTCAAGAAACACAAAAGCACCATTTCTGAAATTCTGTACATTATTTCTCTTAGCTCTCCTCTCCTAGCTGTGTACTGAATGGACAGTCTGTTGTTACCAAAATGGCTATCCCCTGGTGTGTGGGCAACTGTGAATACACAATGAGGAGGATTCAGTAATAATAATAACTTTGCGCCAAATAATTGAAAACCTTGCAACATTGTCATTGTAAGACCAACATGTGTGAAAAATTCATATATCTTATTTGCAACACCTTTACTGTATGGAGCTGCAGTATTGTTGCAACAAATTATTAAAGAAATCATACCATATTAGTGATATGGAACATGGAGATTAATAAGATGTCTTCCATGTTGATTGTGTTTAGTATTGTCACATCTTTGAAACAACTTTGCAGCAAAAATTGTTTTTAAGTTCCTCTTGAACAGATATTTAATCACTTTACCTCTGGAAGGTTTTACCCCCTTTTATGGCCGACATTTTTTTTGCCATTCAGTACTGTGCAAATTGAATTGGCAACTGCTCGGTCATGCAACACTGTACCCAAATTAAATTTATATAATTTTTTTTCTCACAAATAGAGCTTTCTTTTGGTGGTATTTGAGCACCACTGGGTTTTTTTTTAATTATTTTATTTAACCACTTGCCTACAGGGCACTTATACCCCTTCCTGACCAGGCCAATTTTCAGCTTTCAGTGCTGTCGCATTTTTGAATGACAATTGCGCGGTCATGCAAAACTGTACCCATATGAAATTTTCAGCATTTTTTTTTTGAGACAGCTTTCTTTTGGTGGTATTTAATCACCTCTGCATTTTTTTTTTATTTTTTTTGCTAAACAAATCAAAAACAACTGAAAATTTTGAAAAAAAAGTTTTCTTAGTTTGTTATAAAATTTAGTAAAGTGATTTTTCTCCTTCACTGATGTGCACTAATGAGGCTGCAGTAATGGGCACTGATAGGTGGCACTGATGGGCATTGACAGGCATCACTGACTGGCACTGATAGGCGGCACTGACTGGCATTGATAGTTGGCACTGAAAGGCAGCTCAGATGGGCACTGGCTGGCACTGATATGTGGCATTGATGTGGCACTGATGGGGCTACACTAATAATCAGTGCCATGATGATCAGTGTACATGTCCCCTCTGAGGAATGCAGATTACCAGCTCTCCTCTCCTCACGAGATGTCAGCGTGACCGCTCATGAGGAGACAAATGCTGATAACCTTATTTACATGTGATCAGCTGTGATTGGACAGAGCTGATCACATGACAGAGCAAATGTCTTTTGGCTCTTTCCGTTGATTGGTGATCCGCTGTGTCCCAGGGACTCAGCGTACCACCGATCGCACGCACGGTTTGAACGAGAGAACAGTCTTGCGCCCGTCATTTCCTTATATGGTGGGCGGGAGGCGGTTAAATGAAAAAAGACCAAAAATTTTTTTAAAAATTTATATTTTCTACTTTCTGTTATAAAAAGTATCCAATGAAAAAATATAAAAATCAAAAATTTTCATAAATTTAGTGTGAAAGTTATAGCATCTACAAACTATGGTATATATACTGGAATTTACGCAGCTATAGATGCTATATTGTAATGACAGCAATCAGAGACTTATAGTGAGACTGTGGGGGAGTGATGGAGAACCTGGAACTAAAAGACAATGACTGGGAGGGTCACTAACACTGACATTGCTAGTGACACTACTACAGTAAAAATACTGTACACTGACACTAATGAAACTGGCTGAGAAGGGGTTAACTGTGTGCCTAACAAGTGTAATTTGTGTAATGTGTGCTGCTTTAACTTAGTGCCTGGCTGTTTTTTTTCTCCCCACTTTTCAGGGAGAAGAAACAGACCGATCACTGTTCCTACATACACAATGTTTTTCTGTTTGTAAACACAGAACTCTGTGTGTGATTGGACACAGCCGATCAGCAGGTTTCAGCTGAAATCATTGGCTGAAGTCTGCTGCCAAACTTGAGCTGTGTCCAATCACAGCACGGGTCAGCAGGGGGTGTGCGCATGAGTACCCCAAATGCAAAAAAAGGCAGTCATCACGTATATATGTACGTGACTGCGCCGGTTCCTTGCCGACTCTTCGCAGTATATTTAGGTGATTAGTATGTTTGTTTCTCTCCCAACTTCTCCAAATAGCTAGCGTGCTGTATTCAAAACTGAAGATATGGATAAAGTTTTGATAGACCAGTGATACGGCATAAATATAATTTTGGATTATAAGGGTCTGCTCACACAGGTGATAAAACATTCTGAGATTTCCAGTGGAAAGAATCTGCCGACTCCTGCATCTGGAATGACAGGTGTGTGTAAAATAGGGATTCAGCACATACAATGCAGTGGCAGCAGCCAGCATTTTCCTGTAGTGATTGTGGCTGAATGTATTTTGTTTGTATCCAGCCATGATCCTCACAGGTCCTCACTGGCTGTGCAGACAATCGTGAATAGCTGCTGTGGACAGCATGTTCTCATCACCCGACTGCATGGACCCCTATTATCCAAAATTACATTTATGCTGAATGCCTGGTCCACCAGAACTTCATCCATATCCTCAGTTTTAATTTATCACATTTACTTTGTTGGGCCTTCCCCATGCAGCACTATATTGTAGGAGGTTGGGTTACCCTAAGCTATGCATGGCCAGCAACACACAATTTCCACACTTTCCACACTGGAGTCAAAGAACAGTACTTGAGCTTGTTTTTGTGATTTTATTAACGGTTTAAGAACTTGGATGGGGTCTAAGGGTATATGGGATGCCTGAGGAACTGCAGAAACCGAGGACAAACTCTTTAGCAACTATGTACAATCATGTGTATAGTAGCAGTTTCTTCTCAAGAAGCACCAATGCCCTTTTAGTGTACCTCCTCAGACCCCAGATGATTCCTCCTCTTCACCCAGCTGCACTGAGGGTATCCCTGGGTAAGAGGGCCCAAGAGCTGTCAATTTGGAACAGCCCCAGATAAGAAGCTAGTTGGGTCTTGCACCTGACTGCCCTCTCTCCTTATCTGGCCCAGGGGGTGTAAGAGTACTCACACTGTTCTCTCCTGTTAGCCTAATAGGTTAGTGGCTGCCTTCAGGCATTTTGCTGGCTCCTTCCATGTTGTTCAGGATGTCCTCCCCAGGAGACAGTGGCACAGTGGAGGTCCTCTTCTCCAACAACCAGCCTGTAGGTAGGCCTCCTCCCTGGAGCCTCTCCCAGGCTACACAATCCAGCCTTCCTCATTTTATCTTCCACATGACACTGCACATCTCCTCCCAGCGCTTTACATATATATTGTGCATTCACATCAATCCCTAACCCTCAAGGGGCGTACAATCTAAGGTCCCTAGCTCACATTCACACAAACACATACTAGGGCCAATTTAGACAGGATCCAATTAACCTACCAGCATATCTTTGGAATGTGGGAGGAAACCCATGCAGGCACAGGGAGAACATGCAAACTCCAGGCAGGTGGTGCTGTGGTTAGGATTCAAACCAACAACTCTAGTACTGCCAGGCAGAAGTGCTAACCATTTAGTCACTGTGCTGCAGATCTGGGCCTCCTCCCCTCCTCCACCCCTTTTCTAGAAGGCTCTCAGGTTTCTGGAAAGGACGGAGGGCTGACCAAAAGTCCTGTCCTGATAGAGCCTCCCAGCCTGCTCTGAGGTAACCTCACTACCTCACTCCCCAGGCTGACTCATCCCCAGGCTGCTACTCGGCTTCTGCCAAAAAAAAAAAAAACTTCCTAACTAACCTGGAGGGCTTTACACCTATTTATGTTCCAGAAATGGGAAATGAGCAACCAAATAAGAATTTATGAAAGGTATACTCTGTGCTTGGACCCCTAATAATATTTACATTGTACAAACATTTAGGGGCACATTTACACCTATGTGCTTTATTAAATGCGATGTAACACATTAAATCAAGTACTTTGCTATTATTCTTAATGGTTCTGGTTCACATTTATTTAGTGCCCTGACCTACGCTGGCCCCAAAACGTTCATGTCTATTTGTTGATTGTACATTATAATGACCTGTCTATGATATGCAGAAGGTAAAGAGAAATGTTCTGGGTATTGCTGGGTATGTGACTTTGGAAGCACAGGCTGACTCTTCACCTCCTCACCAATGTAAAACCCTAAGAATGTCTTTAAGAAGATTGCCTTGAGATTCATGTCACAATTCATTTGACTAATTGAGAGTGACTCATTAGCCAGCAGTCAACTTGGAAGGTATAGATGCTTAATAGGTCAATGGTCTCTTAAGTGTTTATTAAAAGAACTTGAGGATATGGATTTCCTTTGGCACAGATAAGTAGGCACTAATCTGTGTTGTTCTGGAATCACAGTGCTGAAAGGTGGGGCTCTGCAAGGCACCTACAGACTGAAACAATTCCACTTTCACTGGGGATCCTGCGAAGGGCAAGGCTCCGAGCACACCGTGGATGGAGTGAAATATGAGTCAGAGGTAAGCTAGCATTGTCATTTCTCAGCTGGTTGCAAACTGTTAGTGAATGATGGGAATGCTTTAGCATAAATGTGATGAAACACATACCGTGTATCCTTTCAAAGCTGAAGTATGGCCATATATATTTGTATATTTGCACAGTAAAAATAGGTTCCTTTTAATGAAGTTTACTCTGGCTGCTGCAGTGTTTAATTATCTTAATCTGACCATACAGCCTGTTCAGCAGGGACGGGTCAAGATTTGATCCATGTATGGGCAGTCTGATTGTACCGATCAGTCGATCCATCAATCAACCTGGGCACCACCAGCATTTCCGATTTTTTTACACATAATTACTGCCAGCAGTTATAGCCCCTAGGAATAATCATTGCGTTCTGCCAGCCTGAAAGGCTCCCCACGCCCCCCCTGCTGGCAGAACACAATAGTGTTGCAGGAGACTTTCCCCCCATCAACATTGACTGTGGTGGAAGGAAAGAAAATCGATTCATATGGCTTGTGTTACTACACAGCCTTGCAGTCTCCTGTTGGCAGTGAACATCTGGCGCTGAGACTTGTAGTTCCAGCACTAGTACACTGATCACAGTGGGTCACTCACTGTACCCATCCTCTATTTCAAAAAAGCCTTGCATTCTTTTCACAGAAAGCAAGGTGTTCTGTGACTGAAAGAGGTGCAGACAAAATGTCACTATCTCCCCTCCTAAGCCCCCCCCACATCAAACTGTGTCTAGTGCAGCTGAAGCACAGTATATATTGTAGCTTACAGAATACAGAAGTTCAAAATGAAAGTTAAGATCATATTTTTAAAAGGTGCCTCCATCCAAAGGTTTTAGTTTTAGAAAACATAGGGATTGCCTAGAACCCCCATTAGATTTTTATTTCTTTGTGAAGATTTTCCCTCACTGTAATCACTGAAATGGGAAGTTTAGCACCCATCTCCAAAAAAAAAAAACTTTTCTCATGCCGTGGGGCAGTACCCCTGTGCTCCAGTGGTCTTGAGTTGTGGACTGTTCCTGACATTGTCAAGCTCAGAGCAGGCTCCACAGACCAGGAACAGTCCACCGCTATACTGTGGGGGGGCCGTTTTCCCGTGGAGCAGAGTATTTGGTGAGTATAAAGCCAACCATAGATGGACCGATTTTATTTCCTGCAACTGCATTCGCAGAAAAGAAAATATCTTGATTCCCCCATTAACGCAGTCAACACAATCCCTCATGCGGAGCCATTGTGTTCTCTGGGAGCCATCCCCACTGGGAAAATACAGTGATTACTGCTAGTGGCTATAATAGCCACTAGCAATAATCACATGTAAAATCCAGCAGGCTGGTTGTACCCAAGTTTATCAATCGTTCATTCAGCCTGCCCATACATGGTTTGCATCTCTGTCGGTTCCTGCTGAACAAGCTGAGATTTGAACTCTCTATGGCCCGCTTAAGCTTTCTCTTTACCCCTAGACTCTTTTTTGCACAGAGTTGGGCTCTAACAGATCTATCCAACAGGGCACAGAGTGTAATAAAGCATTGTAAAGGCATTGCCCACCTTTTAGACTGTTTCATGTTACGCCTCAGGTTATAAAAAGGATATAATATGAATCTCACATTCCCCAACCTCCTACCCCCTCCTGAATTGTGGGGTGTCCTCCTTGGTGCATCCTGTTGTTGTAGTTTTAATTTAGCGTGTCTGTGTGTACCTCCACCTGCATAGCCATGTCATCAAGTCACAGATCCATTCACAGGGATCTGATAATGGGAAGACTACAAGTCTTATCTGCCACCATAGTAGAGGGACTCACAGATCGTTAAACCACAAATGTGACATCACAACAGTTGTAGTCCATTGTCTGCATCTTCTAGCCCCATAACAAATCATCTGTACTGCCCTACAGACCTGAGGATGAGGAACAGTACTGTGATGCCTGTTTGTGTCCTTGCTATATAAGCCAGTTATAGACTTGGGCGGTGGCCATTTTTTATTTGCATGGGGAACAGTACTGTGCCTACGATGCACTGATCATGGTCGCTTCAGTACATAAATTGAATAAATGCACGTTTTATAAATGTGAGTGCATGTATTAAATGTTTGACTATGCCTTTAAAGTAGTGTGGGGGAAAGGTGAGAACCTCTGTCAGGTTCCTTTGCTCTGTGTGTCCCCCGTTGTGGAGATCTCCTTGTTTCCTGTTGTGACACCAAAGCAAAAAGTAGGAGGTAAAATCTCCCAATAAAAGGTATAGATGGCAATGTCAACCTGACAGAGGTTATAGCCATTCACTACTCTACTCTAAAACTAGAAAAATATGTTTTGGCTGGAGTTAGGATTTGGGTGTACTTAACCCAAAAAGTACACCCAAACTTGGGATAGATATAAATAGTAAATTCCACAGAATTGTATTTCTATTTGTTTGTCAAGCCCACTTCAGCCCAAACTAATATTTCAGGATTAGGTAGGCAACAGCTTTCTCACCACTCTGATCAAAGAGAAATCAGAAACCATAATTTGATTCAGCTTTTTAGTTGTGTTCTCTGGTGGGCCTTTGTCTTGTTTTTTTTATAGTTTGCAAATGCCTCTTCATATTAAAATGGTACTTACAAATTGTGTGCATGTCATGTTAAATAAAGGACTAGGGAATAATTTCTGTGAACTGCCCAGTCCAGATTTAGCAAGGTAAGATTTAGAATTTTAGGTGCTAATGAACTAGAGCTCACAGGAGGCCCTCTAGCTATTATATATGAGTCTGGGAAATATAGGGGGAGATTTATTAAACTGGTGCACTGAGAATCTGGGGCAGTTGTGTATGGTAGCCAATCAACATCAAAGGCCCCTTTCCTTTCACATGGACTTTCCGATCGGGTCCGCCTGCCCATTTTTCAGGGGGACCTGATTGGAATCCCTATTCTCCTCTTTAGAGCGGCGGGTGTAAACCAACATGTGTCCATTTACACCCGCTGACATCTAATCCGATCCGCCAAAAAGAGATGGATGGGGATCCATTCCCCTTCCGTCTGGCGGATCAGATTGGATGACAGTTGGATGTAAACACAGTCAGTCTGTTTCCATCCGACCACCCATAGAGGACAGCAGGCTGTGTGTGTGTCTGCTCTGCAGCAGTGATCGGTGGAGAAATCCCCCATTAAGTAAGCAGAACCACTGATGGGTCCACCCCGTGTCAAAGGGGCCTAACTTCAGCTTGCTCAATTAAGCTTTGACAAAACCTGGAAGCTGATTGGTTTCTATGCAGAGTTGCACCAGATTTTGCACTCTCCAATTTTAGTAAAAAAAAACAAAAAACATAGTTTGTTAGTCTACAGTTTGCCCATTCACAATTTACTCTCTTATCTGTATTAGTGCTAATGGTTTTGTAAAATGGTTTCACATTTATTTATCCCTTGCTGGCAGCTGCACTTGGTACACTGGAATACTAAATATGGCAGTTTTGGTGAAGCCGTAAAGCATTGCGATGGTCTTGCAGTAGTTGGTGTCTTTCTAAGGGTAAGTAATCAGCTCAGATTTATTTATTTAACACTGCATTTGACTTACTTGAATAGGTGCCCATGGCTTTCTCTTGCCCCACTGTATGTCTTAAACTGGCCATACATATAAAGATTTATGTATTTTTAGTCCCAGCTTCACAATATATACAAATATTATGTTAATGTAAGAGGGTGTCTTTTAACTGTGATATTGTGAGTCATGTAAGGAATGTGGTTTTATTTCCGACCGATTTCTGCCATGATAACATCACTGAGTTGAGTTTGTGTAATATGTATTGTATAAACACACTAGTGGAGGAAATCATAGTTGTAAAAAGCAGTTCTATGCCAATTCACTGCTGCATAACAGTTTACAATACACTCCAGTTAATGTAGGCATACACAGTATTTGTATTGTAAATAGATTATTGCATAAATACATACATCAGGTATTGCATATAATATGTTAATAAACATGTTGAAGGGCAAAAACAGGCATCAGGTAAAGGTGCAAATATTTTAAAAATCCAGTGGGTGAGACATTAATTTTCTGCTATATAAACATGATATTTACCTAGAAGTTTCTGGTTTTGAAGAGAATTGTTTGCATACAGTTATCATGAAGTCTTGCAATATTTCCTATATTGACTTCATGTCCTTCTACAAGAATTTATAGGAAAGGGAATGAAAGATGCATTAAGACAGAATGGGGCCCCAGGCAAGGCTGACATTGCTAAAGATTGCAGTAGGCACAGAAAAGTCGCTCACTTGCATTGCCTGCACTGGCATGGCAATTTCAGATACCAACTGGCTACAAATGTATCCTGCCTTGTAAAATGTTGAGCAGGTGCACAGCTGTGACCAGATACACTATCCCCGTGGTTTATACCAGGAGCATGACGTTTGCAGATGAGCACCTTGGATATCCATTGGTCCTTTGACTCCTGTGTTGGTTGACTTGTGGATAATTTCTTTCTGAATGGAATGACAGTACTATAATATAGTGTGAAATATGCACATCTTTGGGAAATTTAATGTAATTTCCATAAATCATTCACTTTCTGAAATTTCTATCCTTAAGCCACTGCAGGCCACGGAGCAGGAGCAAAGGGGCACCATGTGGCGCATAAACCTCCAGTTTGACATTGATGCTCTAAATTATCTGTTAGGGACTAATCTATAGCCACTTTTCCTTTGTCATACTGCAGTCATAGCTCCTGAAGAGTTCATGGATGATAGTTACTGAGAGACCAACAAATCTGAGCACTGAGTGTAGCAGCCAGGAGAATATCTCTTTCATTGACTGGGCTGACCCTTGGAATCTACCCATGTCATCTTGCCTTTAATAATTTGCCATTTAGGCCCATACTTAGTATTCTCTAGGCATCAGTGTTCAGTACCACGGTTTCAGAGGTTTACTGTTTTTTTTTGTTTTTTTTTGTTTTTTTTAGCCAACATAATGTGACGGCTGATAAGAGTTGTGATCACTCAGGGTTATCACACAATGTGTGCTGAAAGCAAATGTTCATGGTAGAGAAAGGAAGGAACATCCAAGCGTAGGACCATTGCTGATACCTATGATCATCTTATAAGCAGGTATTAATACCTCTTTTAGAGAGACCCCCCCCCCTCCCTAGGTGTAGTTGTGGGTTGCATCTGTACCCATTTATAACCTGGTGTGGGTGGAGTCCTGGGTAGAAGGCACATGGGGGCAGGTTACATCTGAATTACACCATGTAGGTTTGTAACCCGAAGAGGAGAGGGGCTTTCAAGCCTGGGATCAGAGAGAGAGACTCAGGGTTGAGTCCTATAGTGGGGGGACTCAGTGGACAGAATGGGACGATGGCTGGACTTTCCGAGTTTGTGTTTTGTGTTCCATTTTACTTTGTACTCAAGATGTAAGATGTGAAGAAACTACAGTAAAATAACTCTTAAAGAGCCATCAGTGTTGATATCCTTTTATTCAAGAAGGTGGACCAGGAACATTTGAGTACAACACTATGGAGATTCTTCTTTACAGATGTGTCTGAAAAAGAAGAGGGGTGGTGCCCATGGCCAGCTTGGTGGGAACTGGCAACGAATTGGGGCTGCCAACAATCTTAATTCATGATCTGTTATATTTTTTATTGGTATTTATAAGGTTTTGTACATTACACACGTTTTCCATTTTACGTTTTTACCTGTGGTCTTCTTTTTCAACATTCAAGTTAATTTATATGGGTTAAATGGACTAATTTAGTGAGTATAATTGGTTCATAACAAGAAAGTAAGCAGTCTCAGCAGATTTTGCCTGAAATTAATGATGTTCTAATAGAATAATCTACTGTTCTCAATCAGTTTTGAACCATGCACTAAAGCCTAGTCCCAGCCACTGAACGTTAATTGCAACTTGGCATGCCATTAGGCTGAAATGATAAAACAAGCCATGGTTTGTTGGTCATGTGACATTTGATTTCGCCAATATTTCTTTGTTCCCAGTACTGGCTTCATCCAAAACTCTCAGAAAATGTCAGGGAAAGCAACAAATAAGCTCCATCCATGTGGTCTGGGGCTAATCAAGTATTCTAGCTGCATAATATAAGTTAAAATTCTGAACATGTGTCAGCTAGTGTTACTCTGGCAAATCTGGCATATTAATAAATAGAGGTGAAAAGGGATATTACATAGTTAGTTATTTTTTGTATTGGCCATAACCAAATGTCCTTTTTAAAGTAAATTTGTCACAGACATGAGCAATGCAAACAGCAAATGATGTTAAAAATACATAACTAGAGTTTACATTCAGTGAATACTACTTGATTGACAGATCCGTTGATAAAGGTAGCTGAAGTTGTATCTAGTAAAATGGAAAAGAACCTCCCGCGCTGCTACTAAAACCCTAACCACACTAAACTGAAACCCTCAACAGAAAAAGCGGCTAGCACCCAACTATATAACCAAATAATAAGAGTACATGGAGGGAGGGGTGGTGCTGCGCTAATCAAATGGAATCTAAATAAGTGAAAAATATAATAGAGGGAAAAAAAAGTGAATAACCACCAAATCAATAATAAATGAGAAAACACAGCATATACAGCACAAACACAGGTGCACTGTCATATATAAAGCAACATAAAAACAGAGAATACGTCCTCAAATAAAGGTGGTGGATACAGTGATGTGCTAGGGTTGTACTATTGGGGAACTAAAACAAAAAAAAAATTGAGTCAATGGAATATAAGTGACAAAGTTAATAAATTAATAAATATATAAACCCCTATGGTGAAAAACAGCACATGGGTCCAGAAGAACAAATAGTGATGTGCAACTGTGAATATTCAAAAGTAAATAAATATGGATGACATGAATGCCAGAAATGAGTAATGAGTGAACAGGTGAACCCAAGAACAAACAAATCACTATAAATAACACAACAATGTGTATAAACACAAATAAGGTGTAAAAGTCCAAGATCAGCTAATGCATGTAATGTCCGATAATAAATTCCCAGGTGCTGATCCTCTGGAGGTGAACACCTTTGAAGTGTGTTGGCCCTTAGGGGTTGCAGGGTGGAGGTGAGGAGGCAATTTAGCCAGTGGAGGATTTTTGTCAAGCTGATCACTCTCACTATCACCTATCAAATTTACCTGGGAATTTATTATCGGACATTACACGCATTAGCTGATCGAGGACTTTTACACCTTATTTGTGTTTATACACATTGTTGTGTTTATTTATAGTGATTTGTTTGTTTGTTGGGTTCACCTGTTCACTCATTATTCATTTCTGACATTCATGTCATCCATATTTATTTTTGAATAAATATTCACAGTCGCACATCACTATTTGTTGTTGTGGACCCATGTGCTGTTTTTCACCATACGGGTTTATATATTTATTCATTTTTTCACTTATATTCCATTGACTCAATTTTTTTTTCCAGTTCACCTATAGTACAACCCTAGCACATCACTTTATCCACCACCTTCATTTGAGGACGTTGTTCTCTGTTTTTATGTTGCTTTATATACGACAGTGCACCTGTGGTGTTTGTGCTGTTTATGCTGTGGTTTCTCATTTACTATTGATTTGGTGGTTATCTACCTTTTTTCCCCTCTTTTATTATATTTTTTCACTTATTTCGTTAGATTGCATTTGATTAGCGCAACACCACAACCTTCCCCCATGAAGTTGTATCTAGTTTCTAACTTTTCTTGTGCTTACACCGATCCTTTTGCTCATTTATTGGTTAGTTTGGATCTGTTCCTTACACTAAAGGAGCAGTATGTGAGCTTTGAAGGGACTTTTAAAGGAAAATGTAAGCTTTGCTTATAGCTTCGGTTTCTTAGATCTCTGGATCTATAGGTCATTTTGACATGCAATTTCTACTGTTCTACTGAAGGGTAAACCTCTGTTTGTCTTTTTAAATTCTATTCTCAGATTGAATTGCCCAGGTTTGAGACAGGTTAATTTAAAATATAAATGCCATAGTATCTGGGGAAAGGTACATTGTCACTCTAATAAAAAATCTAATATTTATACTTCTAGTATCACTTGGTACATTTTTACTGTTTGCCTTTTATGGACTCTGTATAATAAAAATGCAAGTGTACTGTTCCTCCTGACATAAAGCCTGCAGGAGCCCCTTTGCTTTTGCCATGACCTTCCCTTTTCACTGTGCAGTATGTGTACAGTGTAAGCAGTGAGCCATTCTACTGAGAAGTGTGTGAGCAGATCTTGATTTTCTTGTATAGTATAAATTGCTGTCACCTTTCCTGGTATTTGTAGACTAAACATGTCCAGCAAACCGTGCCACTCCTTATCTGTTCTCGCCATGGGAGAAATGCATTAACTTTCTATGAATGCTTAAGTAGCTATTTTTACCTTTTTGTTCAGTTCTGCTTTTTATTGTTAGTAAGACATTAGCAATTACTGTGGAGATACCTGCAAATATGTAGAATGTCTAGCCATAGATGAACAGATTGCTACCTAAGAATGCTGGTTAGGGAGAGATCTTTCTATTCTTGGTAGGGGTGCGTGTACACCCTCTGTATAGCAGGTGTTGGTGGTGTGTGCTTAACCTCTGCATAGCAGAAGTTGGGGCTCATATACAGCCTGTGTGGAGCAGGTGTTGGTAGTCAGGACTGGTGCTAGACTATTTTGCACCCTAGGCAAGACCAGTTACTTGTGCCTGCCCCCCCCAAATAAATAAATGAAAAATGTTAAAAACTAGGGCAGCACAGTGGTTAGCACTTCCACCTGGCAATACTAGGCTCATTGGTTCAAATCCCAACCACTGCACCACCTGCCTGGAGTTTGCATGTTCTCCCTGAGCCTGCGTGGGTTTCCTCTGGGTACTCTGGTTTCCTCCCACACTCCAAAGACATGCTGGTAGGTTACTTGGATCCTGTCTAAATTGGCCCTAATATGTGCATGTATGAATGCGACTTAAGGACCTTAGATTGTACACCCCTTGAGGGTTAGGAACTGATGTGACTGTACAATATATATGTAAAGCACTGTGTAAATTGACAGCTCTATATAAGTACCTGCAATACATAAATAAAACTGTAGAAAGTATTAATCAACAAAACATGAAACTGCTAAATTTTTTTAATTTGCAAAAATAAGTGCCATAAGATGCCACTAGCACCAATATTAAAGACAAAATCAGTGTTACGAATGAACTGTATCTGTGTCTGGCAGTGGCAGGGTGACAGTTGCAGTGAGTGGAGGATGATGGATCCACACTCTGACAGATCCCAGGCTGGAATTTCCCAGGCAATAGGGGGAGATTAAACGCTATGACAGAAGGCAGCCCAGCCCCCACACACAGAGAGATCACTTGAACTGAGCGCTCCCACACAGTGACAGAGCCGACACAACACACCACCAACATTGACACATCAACAGGCCCAGCAGGCACTAGAAGAGCAGGCTTTGGGATCATGATGATGTCATCACTCACTGACACATTGCACATGTGATGGATGGACAGCCGGGTCACACTCACACAGATACGAGCTATCAGAGTCAGACATTACCTTCCTCTGCAGGCACAGCTCCGCCTTCACTGATGAATGGGAAGAAGGGCTGGAACTCCACGGTAATCATCAGCAGCCACCAGCTGGCTTGCAGTAAGGGACTGAGTCTGAGAGGAACACTGGAAGGAACGGCAGCTCAGCTGCTACACTGTCACCAGACACAGCTGGATGATCATTCATGATGTGGAGCTGGCGCCTCTAAGTGGCAATGCACCCTAGGCAGCTGCCTAGTTTGCTTAGTGGAAGCACCGGCCCTGATGGTGGTACATGTTTAACCTCTGTATAGCAGGTGTTGGTGCTGTGTATGTACACCCTATGTATAGTAGGTGTTGATGGCCTGTATGTATAGCGGGTGTTGATGGCGTGTGTGTGTGCGTACATTGTAGTACACATATATTGCAGTTGTTTGTGGTGTACATGCTCTCTCTCTGTATAGCAGGTGTTGGTTGTTTGATACACTCTGTATAGCAGACGTTGGTGTAGTAGTGGGAATTCTATAGATTCTGGTGAATGTACATCCTCCTTTTGCTTCTGGTGTGGTTGTACTTCTGTAGAAGCCTTTTTACAGCAGGTGTGTGTCCCAATGTACACAGACACCCATACTGCCATGTGCATTTCAGTGGTCAGAAGCTAGTACATGTACACTTTCCATATAGCAGGTGTTAATGGCACAATCTCTGTACAAAAGGTGTTGGTAGAGCTTGTGCACTCTATGCATAGATGGCGTTGCTGATGCTTATATGGCAAGTGTTGGTGGTGATTGTATACTTTCTGTATAGAAGGCATTGATGGTGCATTTGCAATGTATTCATAGAAGGTGTTGGAGATGCGTGTACACTCTCATTATAGCATGCTGCTTGTTCAATGTCCTTATAACAAGTGTTAGTGGGGCATGCACACCCTCTGTTAGCAGGTGTTTGTAGTGCATGCTTAACCTCTTTCTAGCAGGTATTGGTGGTGCATGCACAACCTCTTAATAGCAGATGCTGGTTGTACATGTACAGCTTGTTATAGCAGTTGTTGGTGTTGCTCTCACTACTTTCACTATACATGCACACCCTCAAAACAGCAGATGGTAGTGGTGTATGCACTATTACTATAGGGCTTGTGTTAGCGTAGTAGTAGGAAGCAGGTTTTGGTGATGCATGTACAGTCTCTGTATAATTGGTGGTAATGTAGTTGCTGTACTTCTGTAGCATTCCCAGCAGGTATGCCTCTTACTGTACATACACATACACATGATACACATACTGTGTGTTCCTGTGACCAAAAGGTGTCTAAAGACCAAAAGAAAAGTGGAAATTCAGCAGCTGTGTAGAACAGTGCACATGGTGGGGAGCTTTATTCCTATAGCACATTCATTTACAAAGTTACATAGTTAATCTGGTTGAAAAAAGACACAAGTTCAACCAACCAACATTTATGATGATCTAACAAGGATGCCAATGATTTTGTTCAGCTAATATTTCTTATGTTAATCAAATTAATATTATTTTCAACGCTATGCAAACTGTTTCACCCATGTGCAAAGACATTCTAATTATTACTTTAACAAATAGTTCATAAAATGAGTATACTGTAAACTCTATATCTGGTTTATTACCCCAATCCTCATTTGTTTCTTCTATATTCAGGTGGGAGAGGCCAGGCCACAGTTGCAACCAGTGATTGATGCCTTAAAATTAATTCCAACAAAGGTAACATCTACTCAGCTTTTCAAATATTGTTTAAGACAACAAGCCAAGTGAATTCACAGAGCTCCATGGTGACTTATATTAGCTTATCTTATACTGCTATATGAACTATTCATAGTCATTGCAAATTGAATGGAAGTATAGGTTTAATGTCTATTGACAGATTCTAAACAAAGACAATGCTTTCCAGTCTGTAATTATGCATTTAGATTTCCTGATTCACCAGTGTATCAAGAGTCACTTGTGTTAAGCTACCAGTATAAGGAGTCCAATCATTAAAGTAAAATTAAACTTTCATTTACTTATATTAAAATAATAAACATGTCATTTTACCTGCTTTGTGCAATGGTATACCAGAAAGCTGATTTTTATGGGAGCACTCATGAGGGCTTTCTCCTGAGCCTCCCTGTCAGCATCTATTGACACAGACAGGGTTGCTCAGCCTTGCCCCCTGCTCCCTTGTCATAGAATTTGACAGCAGCGGGAGCCAATGGTTCCTACTGCTATAAATCTGCCCAGTGAGAAGGGAGAGAGCAGCGATGGCCTCTGCTGTCTTGCTCATTGCTGGATCGAGATCAGGCTCAGGTTAGTATAAGAGGAATGTGGGGGGGGGGGGGGATCTTCTATCACAGAATGTTTTTTACCTTAATGCATACAACCAATTTAAGAATCTCCCATTAAGCTGAGTCAATTATGAAGGGTCCTTTCTTGCCTGTGAAGAAAACAACTGCCTGCATCTTTCCTGCGATTGTGATTGTACAGTTTAGGCACCAACCATGAAACACTTACCACAAGGGTTTGGGCTTAGCCCTTACATCATTGCAGCACATTTATAAAATGTTGCTTACTTTTTATATGTGCTTGGGATGTGCTTCCACTTTAGCAACCAGAGGTTTTGTGATCATCATGTGAACAAAATTTCATAGGCAGCCCAGTTTGGTGAATGTGTGTTGTAAGGGTTAATTGTTTGTATTTACTTAGATTGTACTATATAAAAAAATTAGGAAACCATATACCAACTTGTGGAGCAATGCTTAAGGAAACAGTGTATGAGTCGTGTACATGGACATTGTTATTGAATGCAACATTTTGTAGTGGTGCTCACGAATATGGATTTGTGTGCAATAGTGGCAGAGAGACTATATTTTCTCTCATTTGCCTGTATTACAAATGCTTCTGAATAGGAACTGCAATGTGCAGCAAATATAGCACACAACAATGCAAATGAAACACAGTATCAGTCAGATTTAATGAACACTGCACCATTGGGAATCTGTTGATGTGTGCTTGACATGGGCTTTAGATGCACATCCAACCTAGAAAAAAAACCCCCACTGATGTAAACCTTAAAGAGACCAATATCTAAAATGTGGGCAGTGAATGATGTCTGTTTACTTACTAAATGCCAGTCTCATCTGTGAAATTAAAGATGCCCAGTGCCCACTCCCGCCATGTTGGTGCCTTCAGAATAAAGACCATTGTTTGAAGGCCACTATTAGTACAACTCAAACTTCTGACAGGTCACCAAACCAGTATTCTGATCTGCAAAGAGAAGTTTATGTATGAACATCATTGTTAGCTGCTCCAGTAATATTGTTTGGTCCCCTCATTGGCAAATTGCTTAAAATGCAGACATGGCTTCCACCTCTAGAATGTATTGGTCTGACACCAATTAGATGTTTCTGTTAAAAAACAACATAACACCAATAACACCAATATAATGTTGTTTTATTTCAGGGAAAAGAGGCTCCTTTCCACAACTTTGATCCTTCAGGGTTGCTTCCAAATTCTCTGGATTTTTGGACTTATCAAGGATCTCTGACGACTCCACCACTACTGCAGTGTGTAGTCTGGAACGTCCTAAGGGAGCCCATCACTGTGAGCAGTGAACAGGTATGTCTAGACTGGAATTTTTGAGTTTAAAGCTATCACAATGCAGAACAATGATCAGAGAATTTCAAATGCATCAAAATTGGTTTTCTAGATCTGCAGCTGTTTGTACAGCATATATGGCTGAAATTGTGATAGGGTGGAACCTCAAACTGAGGCAATTCAAATAGGACATATACAGAAAAATACATATGCTTATGCATTGTGGTTACATCCTAGAGAGGTCTATCCAATGTAATAAGGATTACTTGAGAACGCTGCAAAACCTTTGGAGAAAAACAAAACTGATCCATATCTGCCCTGGCCCACCTACCGGGTGCAGTAAGGTAAACCGGAGTTTTAGCCATTAATCCACTTATATAACAGTGTGCAAGTTCAGATTCTGACATCTGCCATGACTGTCAGTTTTCATGCAGAGGGGCCTCCCTTATCTTATAGAGACATCAGTGTTTTTTAACCACCAGTATAGTCTGATTACAGTGTACATTTTTCTCTTCCATCAATGCAGATTACAGAGCTTTCGTAATATTTTAAAGTGTCACATTTGTCAGTGCCCCAGGTACAGCCTGTTAAGTCTGCTGGATTCTCTACCATTTTATGTTAAATTAGAGTCCTTTAGTACAGTGGTAAAGGGAAATGAAAAAGGGTTTTTGCCTGCATATGATCAGACCATAGCAGCATTCCGTGCCCCCTCGGGGACCATATGGTATGCCATCCAAATTGGAGAGAGCTCCAACACATCCTAGTAGTGTTGAAGCTTGCCCACTCCCTCGCTCCACTCATTCCTATTGGCCTACACTATGATGGACTGACATCCTGGATAATAGGAATTTATGGGAATGGTCATGCACGTTTTGACAACACCAAGAAGTACCACATATGTGCCTAACGTTAACTGTTCTGCAAGTCCCAGCCATTAAATCCGGGAAAGAGCATGAGCACTTCCAAAAGACTCTGATGTATGTGATGTATGAGCATGGATTCCTACAGTGGACTCTGATGTAAAGGGATCTCTGATGGGGACCCTGATGTGAGGTGGGGAGGGGGGACTCCTAACATGAACTCTGAATGTAAGGGGAGCACTGATGGGGACCTTTATGTAAGGGGGGATTCTGATGGCGCCTCTGATTTAAGAGGTGACTTCAAAAATAGACTCTGATGTGAGAGGGGCACTGATGTACAAGGAGCTCTGAAGGGGACTTAGATGTAAGGGGGAAGAGGTTACCTAAGGAGGGGCTCTGATCTAGGGGGGCTCTGATGGTGAGGGACCCTGATGTAAGGGAAGATTCCTAAGTCAGACTTTGCTGCTACAGGGGTTCTGATGGTGTCCCTGGTGAAAGAGGGGTTCTGATACAGACCCTATTGTAAGGGGGGCTCTGACAGGGACACTGATGTAAGGGGGGACTCTGATGTAATAGGTGGGCTTTGTTTTACTGAAGTTCTTTCTCTTTTGTTCTGAATTATATCATAATTAATTTATTCTGCATTGCTTTATAAAACTGATTTCTTTCAACCTGTGAATATTTGTAAAATATAAAGTGACCCTCTTAGTGAAAAGTTTGGAGACCCCTTAGCCTTTTTTATATTGTGCCAAATGTCAGTGTACTCTCTGAGAGGACACCAGCTATCATTCTGCTGTTTTATTAGAGCCCTTATTTCAAGTATTTCAGCAGAATTGAACATAAATTATTTATACTGATCTGGGAACCTCAATGACCTATTGTGAGATGTTGTCTGGGGGTCCTAAACCTTAGAATTGGATGATACTTTGAAACTCCAGAATTTGTTATGCTTGGCAAATATGTGGAAACTATTAATAGCGTGATAAGGGGCCCTGTTCACATTTGGGACTCTGATAATACATGTTGCAGATTTCCTATAACATCTCATTGCATTTCATCTCTCATGTTCTTCTTACTCTGTCTAGCTGTCAGCACTTCGAGGCCTTTACTTTAACGATGAGCATGACACTCCCTGCCACATGGTTGACAACTATCGTCCACCACAGCCACTGAAGGGTCGTCCCGTTCGAGCATCATTCCATTAGGGGAAGACCTGCCCATCCATGCTGCAAATCTGCTTGCTAATGTTCAATTATCTATTACTGTGTGCAAACTGGAAGTCCTTTCTTGCTCAATGCTGAATTTCTAATCCCTTGGCAAGTATTAGGATCTGATTAATGAAATGTGAAAGTCGACTGACATAGGCAAATAATTTCTAATGTGAAGCGCTGCTTACAGCTTAACGGAGCCTAGCTTCTGCTTGTTTTCTTCCAAATAATGCTGCACTTACTATGGAAGAGGGGAACTAGTGTTCTATAGATTCTTCTAGAATTATGTCTTAAGATGCAGATAAAAACTTGAATGAAGTACATACATACACTGATATGTATTTTATAATGTGCACTAATCTGTGTTTAAAATTTTATCTATTCCAGAAGAAATAATATTGATTTTAATAGAGTGTAAATATTTTAAATATATATATATGACAGATATATATAAGAGAGTCTTATTGGTGCTTATTTTGCACAGTCTTAAATTTCCAAAATGAACTTAAAGAAACATGAAATTATAATTGTATTTTGGATACCACAATAAATACTATAACTGCAAATTCATGTTAAGTGGCTTTGTATCCTTATTGATGATATCTGTGTCTCATATGGATGTCTTAAGCATTCACACAGTCATAATAAATGAACCCTATATTGTTTATAATATGATTATCTCCTATGACCATCAGCTCCCTCCAGTGGCCATAATGCTGTATTTTTCTGAAATACCTCAATATAAAACATAACTGCATTATGGCCACTAGATGGAGCTGAAGAGGCATTTTAGCTGGAGCATTGGGGAACCTTCCTGATCACCCATTCAAACTGGCCCGTGTTATTGAACCACCACTCCTATCCACAAACCAGCTGCTCACAGGAACCCCGCAGATATAGCCTGTGCCACCTTCAAGCAACTGAACCCACTCTGTTGCACTTGATCATACTCAGTACTACATGGAGGCAAAGTGTCTTTCTTCAACTCTTTGTGTAGAAGTTTCTATAATCAGTAAGAAGTAGATCACTTCAGTACAACCTTCTGTTCACCTAGTAAAGTACTGTTCTAAAATCTCTGAAAGTATTGATCCCACACATATGGATGGAGCCAACACCTATGGAAGAACAACTCAGTTTTTAACTGGTCCCAACTAAGGGTAGTCACAGAGAGAAGGGGTAGTTTTGTGTGCCCTCAATTCCTCCCAGGCCATATGCCTACCATGTGCACCCCTCACTAGAGGTCTGCTCTCTCCTCCATCTTGCCTTCTCCTTAACCTTCTGATTCCTCCCTTCAAACAAAATACTCTTGGTCATACCCCACTCTTGTATACCCATTGTACAGAACAAGAAAATCTTTCAGACATTACAGTACAGAATAAGAACAGACATAAGGAAATGACCCCCATTGTATAGAACAAGAAAAGTGATATGATGTTGAGACCATAAATGCAGCGTACAAACAGATACTGGGTATTACAAATAACAAAAGAAGCATACTTTGAATAGTGAAAGAAGCATGCTTTGGATAGCCAAGCCAGGGATTCCAGTTAGGTATAGCAAGAGAAAAGGGAACTAAACAATAAAATGAAGAAGAAAAAAGGTAAGGAGGTATTGAACCAAAAACACACTTCCTGTCTTAAGCCCCGCACACATGGGCCAAATATTGCCCAAAATCAGCTGGTACAGTAGACATCAGCTGACATTAGGCCCATGTGTACAGGTCCTTGTTTGACAGAAGCCAACTTCTGTTGAACGAACATGCTGGAAAAGCAGCGCCTGATCGACATCCTATCAGCGCTTTTAGCCAATGATTGCGAGCGCTGACTGGTGTGTCCTGGTGGAGGGGGGAGGGCTATTTCTCCAGCTCAGTGGGGAGATCACTGTACTAACATTGCAGTTAGTACAGAGACTGCCTCATGAGCTCCATAGTTTTTTTTTAATTTAGTCTTCTGGGCTCAATGAAAAAAAAACTTACTGTGTGTACCAGGCTGTAGGGCAGTGATGGCTAACCTTTTAGAGACAGAGTGTCCAAACTGCAACCCAAAACCCACTTATTTATTTCAAAGTGCCAACACTGCAATTAAACCTGAGTACTGAGGTTTTAGTTTAGAAAAAACAACCCATATATTTACATCTTTTGTCTTAAAAGAAAAGCACAATACCAGAGCTTCTACTGACCATAAGCACAAGGGAGCAAAGTTCCACTGACCAGCAGCACAATGGAGTAAAGTTCCACTGACCACCTGCACAAAGGGGCAAAGTTCCACTGACCACCTGCACAAAGGGGCAAAGTTCCAGTGACCACCTGCACAAGGGGGCAAAGTTCCACTGACCACCAGCACAAGGGGGCAAAGTTCCACTGGCCACCAGCACAAGGGGGCAAAGTTCCACTGGCCACCAGCACAAGGGGGCAAAGTTCCACTGGCCACCAGCACAAGGGAGCAAAGTTCCACTGACCACCAGCACAAGGGAGCAAAGTTCCACTGACCACCTGCACAAGAGGGCAAAGTTCCACTGACCACGTGCAAAAGGGGGCAAAGTTCCACTGACCACCAGCACAAGGGAGCAAAGTTCCACTGACCACCTGCACAAGAGGGCAAGGTTCCACTGACCATCAGCACAAGGGGGCAAAGTTCCACTGACCACCAGCACAAGGGGGCAAAGTTCCACTGACCAACTGCACAAGTTAAAATCTCATGTATTAAAACTCACAGCCAGTCCAATAGATATATGCTTGGCAGAATCCAAAAAACAAAAGGTATACCGCTCAGGCAAACAATCCAGATCAATCCACAACAGGTGCACGCTCTGGCTCGCCACCACACACGATGCAATAGGAAGAAGGGTCAGCCGCACACCGGAGGATAGATGAATATAGTGTGTATTTATTGATCCATAGGACACACAAAACACCAGGACATGAATACAGGACTTGTAAACGTGTTTCACATGATCTCATGCTTAATCATAATTAAGGTTATGATTAAGCACAAGATTGTGTGAAACATGTTAAGTCCTGTATTCATGTCCTGGTGTTTTGTGTGTCATATGGATCAATAAATACACACTATATTCATCTATCCTCTGGTGTGCGGCTGGCCCTTCTTCCTATTATATCCTTGGCAGCGCACTGACCGGCCATGCGAAAACTCGGACAAGTCACGGCTAAAGAGTCGTGGCTCGTGATGTTACACCTTTCTGAGCATGCGCACTGGCCCCTATGTGCGTTGTTATCCGATGCTCAGCTTAAAGGGCGACTTGGCTTGTGTGTCGACAGAAAGGGCTGTGTGCCTACTGCAGCATGCATGCCATAGGTTCGCCACCACTGCTGTAGGGTGTCTTCACTCTATGGAGGAGCAGCAGAGACATTTTTGGACAGCAGCCTTGTCGTTCTGTGGAGAGGGTGTTGTTAAACTAAAAGATTTAGATGGACTTGATGAATAAATTGAAGCTGAACTGCAGCTAACATTTTATAAGTAGTCACCGCAAACAGTTTTTTTTCCTTTTGGAATAAAGGTTTTACATAAATGAATAAAAGTTGACCATTTTATAAATGGTTTGTCTCAATCCTCTAACTGCTACTTTTTATTGGACAGCTTGGCCTAGTAAGAATAACAAGCTTTCCAGTCAGATTACTATGTGAAAATAAAGGAAACAAGCTTAAAAAACGAATGCTGACAGTCTGACACCATATCTTAGAATCGGTAAACCAACCTATATTACATTTTTGTTTTCTAGGTTAATATTTGGCTTTAATTTAATAAATTTGCCACTTTTGGAATTGTAAAAAAAACAATGTACACTATGTTGCCAAAAGTATTGGGTTACCTGCCTTTACACACACATGAACTTTAATGACATCTCAGTCCTAGTCTGTAGGGTTCAATATTGTGTTGTCCCACCCTTTGCGGCTATAACAGCTTCAACTCTTCTGGGAAGGCTGTCCACAAGGTTTAGAAGTGTGTCTATGGGAATGTTTGACCATTCTTTTTTGCTTTGTGCATTTGTGCGCAGTCATGTTAAAACAGGCAGGGGACATCACCAAACTGTTCCCACAAAGTTGGGAGCATGAAATTGTCCAAAATGCCTTGGTAAGCTGATGCCTTAAAAACAACCCCACACCATAATCCCCCCTCCACCAAACTTTACACTTGGCACAATGCAGTCAAGCAAGTACCGTTCTCCTGGCAACCACCAAACCCAGACACGTCCATTGGATTGCCAGACAGAGAAGAGTGATTCATCACTCCAGAGAACACAAATCCATTGCACTAGTCCAGTGGAGACATGCTTTACACCACTGATTTGGAGGGATGTCCCAATACTTTTGGCAATATAGTGTACATAAAGGAGACATTGCAACAAGTGCATAGAATCCAGCTGTTTATAGTACGTTGTACTTCATCTTCCATGCTGGAGAAACCCGTGGCCTAATATTAGCCCTTTCTTGCCTTTTGAGGACTCAATTGGTCACTTCTTTAATTTAACTCTGATAGGGTTCTGTCCTTGTTTTGGCTGACCTTATCTGGATAATTAATACTAATCCACATAAATAGATCCCCCATGTAACACTATGTATGAAATACCAAGGAAATACATATCAATACAGTGAAGCCTCTCTGCTCACAGGTCCATGGCTCAAAGTGACCTGTGAAAAATGCTGGTGAATCTAGGGAGACTAATAATATGCTGCAATGTAAAAGTGGTATGAAATTGGATGGAATCCCAATTGGCATTGGGTGATTGGTACAGCTGCATGTATATTTATAAAAAGCAGTGACATGGGTCAAATTAATTTGCAAAGGACCTGTAAAATTATATTTGTACTTAACTTTTCACAAAATTAAACTTAATTCCAGGAATTTACTCATTCCTTTCCCTTTCCCCTCTAGCCACTGATATGAAAAAAAAATCTATCCAGATGCCCATTTTCCTTACCTAAAGCCACAGTCAAGGGACAATCCTTATCTCTTCTTTTCTTTACTTCCTGGGGTCAT